GTGTCGCGTGCAGCTTTTTGTCAAGAGCCGCGTCTAATTTGAAATTAGTCCTAAACTAGCTGTATAGATAAGAAATAATTCTTCTATTTCAGCTGTCAGCTACATCCTCGTAGGAATCGGACGTGGCCAAGCGAACGCCCAAGGAATATTGTTCACTTCTATGAAAGCCTACGATTGTTTTACCAGGGTGAGTTGTCGACTTACCTAAATTCGTCTACGTGAAGACCCCTCTTGCACCACGATTCGGCCATAGACCTGAAAAAGAGGCTTTCGAGTCTCACTCTGTCAATATGGAGCTCCCACTTACCACAGACTGTTTTATCCCCTGAAAATCTGAGGTGGGATAAAAGGAGAGCCCCTGAAAATCTGAGGTGGGATAGAAGGAGAAGGGTGGGGTTGGACTTCGAGGAGGAAAGGCATAGCGCTAGACCAAATTTCGTCGTATACCCCGGACCGGGCCGGAGGACATGCACTCTGCGGTACTGCCGATCTAAAGAGACTAGAAGACATGTCTGGCACTGAGCTACGGAAGAAAATCTATGGGTGGAATGAGCTCGCAGCGATATTTTCCAATGACGCTCTGCTGCGTGGCTTGGAAGGGGCATGCACATGTCATGCGCAAACTGTTTTGCCGCAGACTCGTGAACTCCGGGCAGTGATTCGAGTTTTCAGATCTGAGGCCGCTTAGTTGGCACTGATGACAGGAGCGCTCTTTTGGTACTGCCTAGATCTGAAGCGCACACTAACCATCCTGAATGAAGTTCAACGAAGTGAGCATTAGGCCCCTCACACTACTCTTTTCAAAAGCGTACAAAGACTTAAAGGCAGTTGGCACGATAAATCGCTATACAGATGTAGGATTTATACGACTGGCTTAACAGAATTCCGTGACCTCGGACAGGCGCTCCGTGGCGCCTTTCCAAGGAGGGTACCCCTATAACGCCCTATCGAGCAACAACATTCCGTCCCAAACGCCTTCCTCGCCCGCCCACAAACGGACGACCGTTCCTGACGCTCTAATCGATTCATTTGCTAAGCAAATTATGAAGCGAAGGGATTGGTATGAAGCGGCCGTGATGCTGCATGCATACATGGGTACACATATGCAGCCGTATCTTCGGTGATTGGCAAGATGCCTACGGGAAACTCGTCCGAAATCGATTTACAAGTCACTGAGAACGGAGGCTTTTTCTTCGCAGGATTTTGACCGTTTCACTCCGTTCTTTCGCCATTTCCCCACTATACAGCGCCCTACTAGCATTTTAGGCTAAGTAGGAAACCATCGTGCCAACTGCCTTTAAGGTTGCGTATTGTGAAGACCTTCTATGACCACCACTCCCGCTTACCATTTGGCAAAATCG